AAACTTAGCATATGTTTCAGCAAGTGCATTAATTATTTTCGCGCTTTTTGCAGTTTGTTTGCAGACAAAATTTTATTTTTCTAACTTTTTGTTTGGATTAGTGGTTTAATTGAAATAATTAGATATGTGTTAAATAAAAAAAATATGTTTGTGGCCGGTGCTTATACTGTTTAGTCTCTTCTGTGGAATAAAAGTTTGGTTCGACAGGATTCTCCCCAGTATTTTTGATTTTAGTATGCACTATTGTCTATATAAAGTTGAAGATCTAGGTGCAAGTTTTGGCAAGTTTTTGATTTTTTGCGTTTTTAGGTACGATGTCAGGGTCCAAACGCACCCTTTTTTTAGTTTGACACAGTAAACCAGTACCAACAAAAAAGTTTTTGGTTGTCGAAAATCCTGTATTTTCTAATATTATTGATCTCTCAAAACATACAAATACAAAAATATACAAAAAATATTATACCTAAAATTTGTTTTTTTTTTCGAAGTGATTAACAAGGCGCCCACTGTGCACTGGTAAAAACGGCCAGTTGTTGTCTTTCGTACGAGTAAGCAAACAAAGTAAGCAAGTATGGCGTCCGCGGTAGCCGAGTCGTGAACGTTGCTTGTTACAAGTCTGGAGGTGCCTGGTTCGATCCTCGGTTGGAGCGATTGCCAAACAATTTTTGAAAGCAGCGTTATAGAACTAATAAATAAATGAATAAAAAAGAAAAATAAAACGAAAATTCTACTGGCCGTGGGACTCGAACCGACGACCTTGCTAAGATAGCCAGCGAAGATAGAAAATCGAATGTAACTCATAATAAGGGTCAGAATCGTTACTATCAAATTCTTCATGGGTAATTCTACTGGCACGTCCTAAATGGCAGCAAAAGCTCTATATACCGTTAACTTTCCTTTGGATACCTTATAAACACACTGTCATATCAGCACCACCGAATCTGCTGGCGACAATGTAGTTTTTTTCTGTGAAATAATTTTCTCATTAAAATAAAAGAAAACAATAAATTCGTACTTACTAAATAATATCAAAAGGAATGATTATCCGAGTTCTTCTTCTGCTTCAAAAAGCAAAAAAATTTGAATAACGCTGTTGTCCTTGTTGGGGTTTTCTATAGCTTAACGGCGCATTGTATTTTTGCTGTCACATCCATAAAACCGCTGTAATTGTAAGTTTTATTAGCCGGAAAACTTACAGTTTTTCTGGACGGCCTCAAAAAGCACGAAGTGTTATGGCCATAAATATTTAGATGCATATAATATATGTACAAGTACATACATACATACATATATAAGTATGGTACAAGCGCAGTAAAAATTCCCCAGTTCCCTTCATTGTTCCATGCAAATAAGAATTACATACTTACATACATACTTACATATATGAAAAGCCAGAATGCCCTAAAAAGCTTTCCAATGTTATACTCGTACCCTCGTACAAAAGCCTACAGAAAGCTTAAAAATGTTTTCCCATAAAAAATTCGCCTTAGAAGCAGATGAAGTCGTGAATTATAAATCTGGCACATGCGCAGTAAAAATTTTCTTCATGCCCAATAAACATTAGGCTTAGTTAACAATTCGAAAATGATTGGAAAACTAACATTTTTTTCAAGTCTCATCTTCGATAACGAATGTGGAAGAGGTTAGTATTCGATTCGAGAACTAGCCCATTCTCCAGCAAAACGGAACCTNTTTTCTTCATGCCCAATAAACATTAGGCTTAGTTAACAATTCGAAAATGATTGGAAAACTAACATTTTTTTCAAGTCTCATCTTCGATAACGAATGTGGAAGAGGTTAGTATTCGATTCGAGAACTAGCCCATTCTCCAGCAAAACGGAACCTTCATTATCCAATGAATTTTTCCTTCGTTATGAATTCGAAATCCAGCCCATTATCGAATTGAAATTTTGATGAGAGAGAGTGATTGTATTATATTTCCATTCGAAAATGAGCTGAATTTCACTTCCTCTCTTGTTACTATGGTTTTAATTTTTTTTCGAGCCCATCTCGAATGTATTTCCAATACACTATGAACGTTGGAAAACTAAGGTTGATTATGAGTTCGTTCTCAGTTCGATATTCATATTGGATATCGGAGGTAATTTTCGAACGTTCGCCAAAATGTTTATAGGGTGCCTTTAATTCCTCGGAGCGTACAGTTCATTGCGGAAAACTCAAAAAACACATTTTGTTCTGAGCTTATTGGAACTATAAAATCAGTTAGTTGTAAATATACTGTTATACTCTTACAGGAAGCTCATATTTTATCCTACAAAAATCTCCGTGAAAGGAAAAATTTTTTCTTAATCCTTTTTAGGTTTTATAGCTTATCAGCCAGCTCTCTTTACACTGCCACAGTTATAACATTCTCTGGCGCAATCCTTATTTTGTTTACAGCTTATTGCGGCAGTTCTCTTTTTATAGTTATAGTTTTAAGACCAACGTAACGATGATGATTTTTATTTCCCGGAAACTACATATGTAGCTAAAAATGCAGTTATACCAAAAGTTTTAGCAAGAACAAGAAAGCATTCATCCCCACGTGAATTTGCACCCGCTTTGAATTCTTTTTCGCTAAAAAAAAATTGCTAATATTTGAAGCACTTTGAGGAAAATTTTACAAAAAAGATATTGAAGATGTCACAATGCCAAAAACCAATTGGGTGTATTCTCGAAGTCTTGCAAAGTCTTTGCATGTTGTCGATTTTCGTTTCGCAGGTATTTATTCGCAAGAAATTATTTCTTCTCTATATAACTTTTCAAATATCCCAAAATCGGCAGCATCATGAAATTTAATGGCCTTACTCATAAAGAAATAAAGTTGGTTTAAAGAGCTTTATAAATTGACGTTTTCATACATTTTTCAATTTATAAACCTTTTTTAAAGCTACTTTATTTTTTATGAATAAGGCTATAAATGTTTTAATTTCTCAAATGAACCTAGAACAACAACAATAACAAATATTTTCGTTTATATTTCGAAGTGATACATCTTTCAAGAAAGAATACAATTTCATAAAAAAAGGCTTATTAAAAAACAAGGATTTGTTCATGATAAATTGGACTATAGAATTTATATATGTACATAGCTACACTTGTGGCCAGCTGATTAAGTCAAGCGACATTTTGATTAGTTTTGGCTATTTCTCTATGTATAATGTTTATATATTTTTTTTTATAAAATTAAACAAGCTTAAACATTTGCACCCAAAAATTTAAAACTTTTTATTTACAAATTTTAGAAAAATTTTAGGTATGCAGTTTTGTAGGCCATTAAATTTTAGTTGGTTGCAGTGCAATTTCAAGGCGCTAGAAAATATCGTTGATTTTTAAAAATCTTTTTTGCTGATGGTGTTAAGCATTTTCTCCCAAACAAACGAAATTGTCGAGCTGGTTAGGTAAAGTGCTAGACTTTTATAAAAAAATATAAACATTAAATAAACAAAAGAAAAATAGCCAAAACTTGTCAAAATGACACTCGACTTAATCAGCTGATCACAAGGGTAGGCTACATACATACTATAAGCAAGAAAACTCAGCTTATGCGATAATGAACACTGTTTTGCACGAGATCAAAATTGATATAAAGGCAGTCATTTAAAATGATCGTAGTTGGGTTCTTCAAGTCTTCATGACAAATGTATTAACAAGTAATTTTTAAGCAAAAAAAAAAACTGACTTCAATCCTCACATACAAATTTAGGAGTACCGTTACTTTATTCATGATCTAATGATCGGAATTAAACCAAAGTAGTACGGTACCACCCCTTCGGTGCCACCTTTCCGATAAAAGAGAATTACCGAAAACACTTTTTAGGCGGAGTAGAAAGTCATTACCCAAAGAATGACGTTCCTGTATTTTACTACTCTAAGCCATGGGATACAATAAATGCAAACAGTATGACTGACTCTTATACCAAATAGGCTATAGATTTATGTCACGCATACACTTTTAATACACTTTTTCGATATAAAAAATGCCCCCCTTAACGAGCGAGTCCCATCCTAAGCGCGCCAATTGGACCAAGTTTTAATTTGAGCATACAAGTTAGTGCCAGGACACTCTGTGGTGCCAACTTGGCGATGCCCATATAGAATATAGCCAGCTTTCAGCTGTCCACGTGATACAGCATCAGCAAGCAAATTCTTGGCGGCAGAGATCTGAGCAGCAGTGGGTTGAACGTCTGCAAAGTGAAGAAAAAATCGTGCACTTTTAGTTACTCATTAGCAGGAATCACTGTACTTACTGTTGTAGTTGCCCATGAATGAGATGCCAATAGACTTTGAGTTCCAGTTGGTGGCATGTGCACCCACCGAATTCCAGCCACGACCCTCATACACTTGACCATCACCGCCGATCAGAAAATTATAACCAATATCAGCCCAGCCCAAGGTGTCCATGTGATAGTTTTGCATGCTGCGCAATTCTTTAAAGCACGCACTTTGAGTGGAACAATAGTTACCAGCAGTGTGATGTATGACGGTGTAGGCTAAGCTATTGGCCAAGTTGGTTTTGCTAGTAGCAGTACGGCCGCCCCATTGTGATTTGGGGATAATATTGACACCGAAGGCCGCGTTGAGACAACAAAGCACAACACAGAGTGGAAAGAGAGTCTTTTAAGCCATGTGATTGCAGAAAGTATACTGTTGAGTTAGTGATTTGCTGCAGAGGACGGTGGGTGTTTTTATACACCTACTTTGGTGCAATGGGCAATGGACTCAACTGCGGCAGTGCATTGTATATCTTATTGATAATTTTTTTTTCGGACAGCCAGTAGACAATTTATTGAACAGAATATTTATATCAGTAAAAATGCCTGCAAATAAATTGCTGATATCTTGGGGTTAGCAAAAAATTTTAATACTGCAGTAGCAGTTGCATTGTCATGTCCCTGCAGGAAAATGGTTTGGCAATGAATGTTTTCTTCTGAAGAGGACCAATAATGGTATGCTAATTATGGTTGATCGAGAAGTTCTGAACTGAAAATTTTCAGAGAGCTCTGTTTTTTTGTTCAATACTATTTTTATTGGCATCTGTACCAATTTGTTACCTTTAACAATTGATTCAGTTGTCGCAAGATAATACTTTGTAACTTGACTTGAGTGTGCCCGTTCGCGCGATCAGCTTGTTCGAGGAAAGCTGAAATGTTTTGAGCTTAATGCGGTGTTGACATGAGCCGATTTTACAGGCAACTTTTAGTTAAAAGCAGTAATCGCGTGGTGTGAACGGCGGGGGCCAACCCACTTCTGATTAAACTAATCGCCTATGAAATTGCGAAAATGAATAAACAATTTTATTTTTCTATATAATCTCTCTCTACTTCAATGCACTTCTTACATTTATCAGGGCTTTTAATCCAGTGAAAAAATATTCGCCGCTTTTGTATTTGAAATGCTCGCCGCCTTGATTTCTTCCTATCTCGAAAATCTTCGCCCTCGGAGATTCTTCTTCACATTGGAGAACAGGAAATATTCGCAGATTGGCCGGTCTGGACTGAATAGTGGGTGGTTGATTTCTTCAAATCCAGTCAGACGCCTTGCAACTTTCGCAGTGTGCACGGGTGCATTGTCTCGCATAGCCAGGTATCCTTTGGCCGCACTTTTGCCAACAATATGGCATAATAGTCTCCGTGAATTGTAGAATACTTTCACAATCCCAAAAAATGGTAGCCATGAGCTTGGATATTTATCTATCCACTTAGAATGTACGTGGTGGCTTTTCTTCCTTTTCTATCCGCTGCATAGACTCCTGTTTTGGCTCTGGATTATCATGCATAAACGGGCCGTTTCGCTCTTTTTGACTAAAATAGTTGAGGTCTGGCAAGAAAGTCCAATCACTGGCTAGAAGTTAATGTAGACAAAGAACTGTCTGGTTCTTCGTTTCTACTCGTTATAGAATTTGCCTTATGCCTATAGTTTGGCTAGAATTTTCAAGACACGTCTCTTTACAGAAAAATAAAGCCCAATTGAATTTTATGTGAATTAGACCTCGAGAGCCAAACTGAGCGTTAGGTTTGGAAACTTTTCTTAAGGTGAGCAGGGATTCGAAATTTGTTTTAAAGCCTCATCGAATATATTTTACAAAGAATTTCCGGCATCCGTTGTCAAAATCGGGTTGGAAACTAACCCGTTTGGCCGTTGTGTCTTGTTTAATGCAATTTTTCGATTTGAAAGTATGAAGAACAAAATGACACCGAACATGGAACAACCCCGAAACTAATTCGACTTCAAACATAATTAGCTATAAGTTGACGGAAATGTGTTGTAAAGCACCGAATCTTGCCAACCTGTTGTAGGAATTAACCATAAGCAATAAATTGTAGCATCTACTAACCAAGTTCAATGGTGTCGTACTATCGCATTGTAATTGCAGCGTAAATTAGATTAGACTGTCGCTCATTATTGCAATTTTCATATCAAATGTACAAAACCGTAAAAAGAAATGACTTTTCAATTCTTTTTAGCCTAGAGGCCAATAAATAATCAATGAAATAAACCATAACAAAAATATTGGAGTTGTTTATAGAATGGCTTGCATATGTCTTAAATTACTTATGTGTACTTTTTTCTTTTCGACATTCGTTCCTAAGCTTTGGGTAGTTGATGGTCTTGATAATATTTAAAACGAAGTGTGCCTGAACTTTTCGTATATTGCTATCTAAATGTGATTAGTGTGTAATTTATGTATTACAACCTGCTTTTAGCGCATTAAATATTGTCTATAGATACAGTGTGGCTTAAATAATTTAGTTGAAAGTTAAATTAAGTAGGCGCCAGGGTTCGTAAGTAGTTAATAAAGCATAAATCTTTTCCAAACTTAAGATTTAATGCAATTCGAGGCTCTTATTTAATAAATGATCTCCTCAAAGAGCATGAACTCTTCTGAGATTGCTGTAGGAGAAGCTCTTAAGTTCAGCGATAAATGTGCCAGTACCTGTGATTTAAAAAATAATTAATATTAATAACCCTTCAACCAGAGATAAGCAGTCTCAATGAAGATGAGATAAGAGTATCGATAACAAAATCGATAAAAATATCGATAACAAAATCGATACAAATATCGGTAACAAAATCGATTATTATATCAATAAGTGCCGAAAATATCGATAGCAAAATCGATAACAAAACCGATAAAAATTACGATTATTATATGGATAAGTCCCGAGAGTTCCAAAAATCTCTAGTATCCCGAAATAGTTCCTTTTCTTTATAATTACCACAATTTTTCCTCTATCTTCATCTTTACTTTTATCGATATCCTCATCTTAATCTTTTTCTTTATACTTATATTTGTTTTTACTTTTATGTTTATAATTTTCTTCATCTACACATTCCCTTCACCTTTTCCCTTATATAAGTAAAGTGTTTAAATTTACCCTAATCTTCGTTTTTGTCTTTATATTTACGCTTAGTTTTTGTTTTTATTTTTACCTTTGCCTTTATCCCTTTCTTTATCTAACTATGTACGTGCTCACCTTTACTTTCATTCTTGTATTGATCTTTTTATAAGCAAGTTTTTGTTAAATTAATACCATATGCATACAAACAAGAAGCACTTGTTTCAGCCCCAACCATTTCCGTGTGCAATTTCCGTTGAATTTGCCTATTTACTTCCAATCAACCAACCGCCGCTAAAGAAATTTCACTTCAATAATAAGAAGTGATGGTTCTGATACTTCAGGCCTCTTAAAAGCCTGGGACCGGGGGAATTCACCCCTACCGCCACTTCCACCCTTCTCCTGGGCCTGGGCCTGTACATACATATGTGTGGATTTACTGGTACATGCGCTCAAAAATTTTGTTCATAGTTTAAAATAATCCATCAGTTGAAGAATCAAAAAAGGATAACTTCTGCTTGTCCAAATACATAATTTAATATAAAACCACGTGGGAGCCGTTCGTGTTAGAATTCAAAGTTCATGACAGTTACCAAGCGTTTGGTGCCCTCTGACAGTAAACGAGAAACTTTTACAACAAACTGACAGTTCACCAAAAATTCAGTTCAACAGCTCGCATAGCGTATTCGACACACATATCGACAAAGGTGCGCGCAGGCAGCAAGCCATTTTAAAACAAATTTCCGACGCGTGATTTGGACAGTGGTGGAAAAGGAGGAGGAAGGACGTGCGTAGTAGATAGAGTATGAGGAAAAAGAGGAAATGCGAGTAGTTGCAAAGCCCGCCTACTTTAAACATACATAGCTACCACGCCTCACGCCTCACGCCACACACAACGCACGCCCAACAAGTTGGAAATTAGCTATTTTATGTTTCGGAACATGAAACGTCAATGATGTTACATTAACGTCATTTCCATTACAAACAAAGGACGTATCTAACTGTTTGGCAGTATTTATATGTACCACTAAATGCGAGCGAATGTGCACAAATACAGTTAAACACTTGCAATGGTTCACCGAAAGTGCAGGAACGGTAAGTCAGAGGTTAAGGGTCAGAGGTTGCGCGCGAGAGGCCGCGATTGCTGCAGCACCGACTGGCAGACTGGCAGACTGACAGTTGATTACGTGATCGGAAATTTAATATTTTCTTTACGCACATACATACATATGTATAGAACCACTACCATGAAGACTTGCATACATATTGAATGAGTATTTGTCTGCTGTATTTGCAACTAAAATGAAATGAAATAAAATCACAAAAGTACAGCGCAAAGCACCAAAATAAACGGCCTGACGAACAGACAGATACACAGATGTATGTAATAAAGACCGACAAACAGGAAGGAGTAGCGGAGGGGCAAAGAAGGTGGGTCCTTCGCAGCCAAGGGAAGCGAGCCGAGTAAACAAATCGCGCACAAAGAGAAGTAATAACAGCAACGCTGGGATGTAAACTGGAGGATGAAGCGAAACATTGGAGCGGTAAGTAAGCAACAGCAGCAGCATTCGGAAACCTCTTATTTGCTCTGCTGAAGGATGTTCGGTCCAAAGAAATGCTTGTAAACAAGAAATGAAAATAAATTCAAACAAATGAAAGAAAAATAGACGTGAGTGCGTGACTGAGATGCGTAAGCGCGTGTACGAAAACACAACAGCACCAATTCACATGCAACCATGGTGCGAGATCAGAGGGCAGTTTGTAAAAACAAGCAACAACAATTATGTGCCTTCGAAAAAAGCGAAAACAAATGCTATGCTAATTTAAAATTTATAAGAGAAACAAAATCGCTACTAAAAAGTAATGAAACAAAAACGGGGAAAAGTATTGCACGCGCGCAGAGTCATTGAAAAATTTTCCGCAGAGAAGAAGGTTAATTTTTCATGCTGAAAAGAAAAAAAGCGAGACTTTAGAAATTTATATTGAATTTTGCCAATTAATACTAGTGAAATTTATGTACGTGCATATACGATTTCGTTATCAATGAACTAGTTTCGCACTCACTCGCTTCGTTGAGTGTATGCAATTTCTTCGTTTTATGTTTGTTGTACTTTACTTCAGCAAAACTCAACATATTTCAACTCAGCCAAAATCAAAGAAGATTTTCACATTTTTCTTTTTTCTTCAAACTATTTTAAGTAAAAACTTTTTAAACCTCTTTCGTCCGACACCCATATTTCAATATTTATTTCAATCACCTGAACAGGTGGAAACACTTCTACAAGTAGT